ATCTAAACGTATTAAACATGACATCACTTATTTAATCAACATTTGTAGCCACTTTTTACACACTTAGAAACGCATTAAAAGTAATTACAAAGTTGATTAAATGGTTGACGTTATATTTCACTTGTTTAGACGTGTAACAAGAGAGCACTTAGATTTTCTGTGTAGAACTGAGATGCATAAAATAATTGAAAAATATCAATCAAACTAAAAAATTAACGAAAATTTATTTACAGGATTGGAGGCAATTTCGAAGGAAAGATACTTTTAGCAGAATTCCAACTTTTTTGGTGAAAAAAAAAGCTCGAGATTGAATTGAACAAGTTGACAAAATTTCCATTTACGATTTAAATTGATACTACGAATGAATATTAGGAATGAAAAAAGGGAGAAAAAGAAAGATTTAAAACATAAAATTTGATATCGAGAGATTATTACGGAATTGGGGATATCTCAATTTTTGTTGGAGAGACCACTCACTCTTGTGGATGAAACGATTTTCCTGTGCTCTCTTACTCCACAGAACTTCACTTTACACTTGATGATTCTCTCACACGTATTTCCCTCTCAATCGTCTCACTATTTTTCTTAGCTATTTATCTATTTTATTACGCTATTTTTGAAACTTGCTATGATTTGAAGTTTTATTAAATTTTTCATCAATCGCGGGTATCCATCAAATAGTAACAAGGTGCGAGAATTAAATCTCGCATTGTCATCAAAAATTAATCATTCACTTATTTCAAAGTAATTGAAAATAAAATATTTTTTATTTTCCTCGTCACTAGAATATTTTATTTAAAATAAAATTTATGAGGTAAATATATGACACTTTTGTTTCACTATCTTGAATAGCAAATTACCACTTTAAACACTTATTTTTTCAAATTGATTACTCAGGTATCCTTTCTAATCGCCTTAATAAGATCCTCCACTGTAACACTAATTCACACAATCAAATTACCAAGTTTGAAAATTCAATTAAATCCTTGAGAACGCGAATTCAAACTTTATCTAATTCAAACTTGACACACTGAACTCCATTTGAATGACACAAGAAGTCGTCCTTTGCACAGAAAATGAATATATTCTTTTGAGACACTTATTAAGAAAAAGAAAAAAAAAATTAATATTTTATCTCTTTTATTTATATGAATTATTTGTTTATTATTAATTAATTATTCTACCAAGGCTTTATTATTCAACAGGAAAAAATGAAAATAACTATTTAACATACGATCGTGAAGAACGAGCAAATGTAACACGCGCACGAAATCATCACCAAGGATGCTGAGACCGTACTGCTGGTGCTCGAAACCTTGGCGCTGCGATCACAACGTAAACCGACAGAACTGTTCAACCCCTAGCTATTCTCCCCCACTACCCTTTAACTCCTTACTCACCCTCTGATTCTTTATACCTTTATAGGAACCTTCTTCAAGCGTTGTGACGTCCTCACCAAATCATTCTTAGACGATAGAGTCTTCAGTTACCATAAACATCCAACGGATATGAATTTTTTCATCTCCATCTATTTTTTCTTTTTATCATCAACTTCTTAATATTCCATCATTTTTTAGTCTGCTTGAATTTTTTTTTCTCAATGTTACAATGTGTTTTATCTTTGTTTACCTAATTTTGTAAATGCTGCAATTGTTATTATTTATGACATTATTGATAATTAATCGTAACAATCGTTGATTATTATCATTTCAAAATTGAAATCTAGATTAATTATGAAAATACAGAATAATTGGAAGTTTGAATTAATTATTTGAATTTTTATTTAATAGTTTTGGTGTATTCATGATGATTTTAATCCACATCTATGTTAAGAGAAAATTGATAAATATTTCATAAGTCCTGCAACATTTTATAAATTCAGTTTTGATGGTTACTTAAAATAATTCATTAAAAAAATACACTTTTATTGTGCTTAATTATTTTGAATATAATTATCTGAGGACTGGTTTATTCCAATGTTTCTACTGCAAATCCAAGAAAATTGAAGTATTTAGTAATAAAACACTTAAAGTGTTTAATAATAAAATACTCAAGTGTTTACAATGTTGAGAACCATAAACAAACTATAGCATTGTGGTAAACGGCATCACGGTAATTTTGAAGTGTGTTAAAATAACGCACCTTGAGTGTGTTCAATGTTAAATTACTACACACAACCTGTAGAGTCTTGTAGTCATTTTTAACACACTTCCAAGTGAATTCAAAATGACTACAAGATTAATTAAATGGGTGATGTTATTTTAAAACACTTTAAGTGCATTGAAATAAGACACTTCTAAATTTGAGATTTGCAGTGATTTAATTGATCTTTTTTTTTAAGATCCATTGTGTCTCAGAAAGTAAGAATCATTCCAAGGTTTTTTCAAGAAAAATTTTATTAAATTTAATAAAAATATTTTATTGCAAATATTTCAACTTTTTTTTATTGATTAAATCAACATTTTATTGAATAGTGAAAACTCTTTTTTCAATGTGCCTCCACTTATGACCGAAGTTGAGTTCATTATTTTGATATTTCAAGCAAGTGTATGAGAAATGAACATCATAGAGGAGGGGAAGGTAAAGTGAAACACTCAAAAAAATTTACTAATTTATTTAAATAAATTCAACAACGTTTATTGCACTTTTTGTTTATCAATTTTTTAATTTATTAATGCATTAAAAATTATTAAAATTTGTTAACATAATAGTTAATTTTTTGATCGACATTTTTTCTTGGTGTTCCACTTGATCTCACCTTCCCCCATATTTATTTTCAACAAAATGAATGAATTTATAATTTGTACTGATTAAATGTTATAATTCAATTGAATCGGTCACAAAATATTTCAAATAATGTCCATGTCATAAAATAGACTGTACTAAATAATGACTTGATGATTGAATTAACAAATAAATTATCGAGGCGTTAAATTTATTTATGATTCCTTTGTGACTAGAACAGAAGATGGGCCATTTTGAAGAGGTTATCGAAAGGAAATTAGAGTAGGGGGGTTGATATTTTCCACATGACCAAACTTTTATTCCCCAATATCCATTCTAGTACACGTGATACAAAGTTTAAGTCTCCCTCGTTTTCCACATCGAACGATGAGTGGTTACAAAGTAAAAAGTCCTCTGAGCTTTCGTTCTGAACTTTTCAACCCCCTACATACTTATTTTCTCTCTATCTTTTTTCCTTCATCTTCTTTTCTCTTACGTCGTTGTTCCTTCAAAGATGTAAGTAATCCTAGAATCGAACAGCTGACCCCAAAGTCCTGCTTGACCCAATCCCCTAAGGATTCTCAAGAAACAACTTCCGCCCTCTTCTTCGAGTCTCTTATCCACCCCAGTGATATTTGTCCTGTCGCTGACACTTGACTGATGAAAAGTTCATCAAGTTATTAAGAATAGGAATCTTAACAATGGGATTGCATTTGAAATATGAAAAAAATTTTTCTCTCTGAATTGAATAAATGAAAGAGCATTATTTTATTTATTTGCTTACAAGAAAAATCGTTCATATTTTTTTAGCTGTTGATGGAAGTGATTTTTCTTAATTTACTAAAAGAAAAAAATAACTGGCAGTGATTTATTAAAATAAAATGTCATTGTAAAGACATTGTAATATGCCTCAAACATCGATCAAATAACGTATAAAATGCCCTCTTTAACATATTTAAAATCAAGATATTTCGCAAAACTTTTATAAAGTCATTAATTTATGACAAAAAAAATTATAAAACAGATCGTGGGAAAATTTAGTGAAAGCATAAGGGTTATAAGAAATTCTAGGTGTATAGGAAAATCTTAAAACCCCGTCCGGAACTTTTCCGTCCACCCGAAAAGTATGTACATGGGGTATGAGTAAGCTTGGAACTAGGTACTTCCATGCGAGAGCCAACTTTTCCACGACTAGACGGTGAGAGTTAACTTAAAATTAAACTTTAAAGACTTATAACTTTCTAGCGTTTTGCTGGGTGATCCTAAGTATGAAAGGGAGGTAGTAGTTAACTCTGAAAATGTTCCGTGGTCTTATAGAGGAAGGTGTACTTGGAGAAACTATCCAGTAAGAAGCAAGAGAATGGTGGACGACAGTTTCAATAACGATGAATATCCTGCGCGCGCAAACTTCCAAGCGTTATCGTTTCTTTTATTTAATATTCTTTTATATAATATTCCTTTCAAACTTGCTTTTAATATCTTCAAATCTTTTACTCACACTCCCAAACCAACAAAAGAGGCATTTAAATGAATCCGTTGATTGATCAAATGATAATAATACATTTTTTTTCCAATGCATTCCTATTCCTATAGGTTTCTGCAATCTGCTTGCCTACATTACAGCGATACTTTTTGTATCTTATCTAACGTTTACAACATGCTCTTCTAAATTGTTTATAAACATACATTCCCATGCTTTCTGGTAATCTGCATGCAATTTATCAGCCAAGTAAAAAATATCAACCACAGTAGAAAAATTCCTGGGCCACTAAGGTAAAAATTACCAGGCTTCTATCAGAAACTATGATGTTCCTATTAAAAATTACCCAGCATCAATAAAGTTCTTTCTAATTTGTTTTAGAAAGATTTTAATGCTCGTCACTTGCACTTACTTCATAGCAACAAGCATGACAATTTTTCTAATCAATTTTCCTCCATGTGCTCTTCTCAATTACTTTCTGTTTTATTTCACCTTCACGTAACCAATTCGCCCATTTTCTCACAGAATCTCTAACTTCTATTGTTTATAGCTCAGCTGCCTTGTCACAAATAATAAGGTGCTCCAATGACTCTATTTCCCACTAGCACAAAACCTACATGTCCAGTTGGTGAACCTTTTTTCATAAAGACCTACACATCAGACCTAGACCTCATCCTGGCCCATGTTTTTTTCCATTTCTTATGCATATAAATACAGCAGAATTACTTAATGTTTATACAACAGGCTGTAATTATTCTTAAAATAAAAAAAAAATTTTTTATTCGTCTTTACTTACTACTTTGAGTGCACATTTGAAGCTTGAGCTCATGATCAACCTTCTGCCCTCTTCTTCACAGCACGCTTTTTTCCATTATTCCAAGCTTATTTATCAGCAAATCATAAATCTGATCACCTTCCACTCTATTCCAAATCATTTGACATACTTTTGTAGCTTGAATGTCTTCAAGGACGTTCCAAATACATTTACCCCACAGTGGAGGTTTTCTATTCAATATCCCACTTATCTCTTCTATTTTAGGCCACCTGTTATTATCCTGCAACATGAGATTGATCAAATATTTTATTAAAACATTTTCTCATTTAGCCATTTCCAGTCTCTCTTAATACTACCCGAGTCGAAAAATTTCGATGGGTTGTACATTGGTTACATTGCTTTTTAGAAATACAACCAATGTAAAAATAATTTAAATTAAATTTCATTTTCAATGTTTAAGATGACATTGCTTTAACATTTTATCCTTTGCATAATTCCCTTTTCTGTAGTAACAATGTCAATTCAATGTTATCAAGGAAAAGAAAGAAGCAATCTAAAAATGATGAAAGCAATGTAATCATAATACAATAAGAAAAATAAAAATAAATTTAGAACTACATTGGTATTGACGTTGGTTATATTGCTTTTTTTTATTTTTGGTGTTCCCTTTCCGGTCACCCATCCATCTATTTACCGGCCTAAATGTTGCTTGACTTGAAAATCGCGCGTACCGTTCGATTCCCACTGTGCTACATTGATTTATAATTTTTTTTTTTATTTTCTGTTAATAAACAGTTGAATTCTATGTACAACAGTTGAAATATTGTTAGTAATAAATTACCATTGTTACGAAATATTTAATAAAAAAATAGGTCTGAGCACACTTTGTCTGTGCTAACACGACGAACTTCCCATGAGTAATTGTTTATAACAAATTTAAATAGTTGTAATCAATGTTTGTTGAAAACATCCAAATACATGTGATATACACATTACTTATTCAATAAATACAATTTTCAGTTGTTTATAACAAATTCATTTTGTTATAAACAATGCGTAATTGTTAAGAGTCATATTTGGTTGTGAACAATAATGTCTAGTCAATGTTGACTTCATTTTCAAATAAAATTGTTATTTTTCCGCTTAAAAGTATTTTAAATAGTTCATCTTTTCATTTATTCGTTAATAGTTTTTTTGTTATAAAAAAAACGGCTTAACCGAATTTGTTCAAATTTCTTTCAGATCTTCTCTAAAATAATATCTTTCGAATAAATTTTAGTTGAAGTTGATATTTCAATCCATTCTTGAGATATCGAAAACGAAAAAAATGCTGACGTCTGTACAGACATACGTACGTACGTACACACACGCATCATTCTAAAAATTGGTCAGTATGCTTGCAAATATCATGAAACGTGGAGATATGATGAAAATTCAAATTCCACCAACCGACCCAATTTCAATAACTTCCTAATGGGAAGTTAATAAAAATGAAAACAATAATCATCCCTTAACGATGTTCTTTTTTGACATTGATTATATCACTAGAAACTATTATCAATGTAACCAATATAAACTCAAGATTCACACATGAAATGTTTTATAATTCTTCTTCTACATTGGTAACATTGCTTCATATTTTTTTAATATTAGTTATATTGCTCTAGATGATTAGTAATGTAACCAATGTCAACTCAAGATCTACATGTAAAACCTTAATAATCTTACTCTTACATTGCTAATATTGCCATATATTAATTTAACATTGCTTATACCATTTTCAATGTAAGAATGATTTTAGCAATGTAAAATAAAATTTTTTAGCAATGTATCCCATGTAAAAGTTATGTTATAACAATGTAATCAATGTAAGACCCATCGAAATTTTTCGACTCGGGTAAGTTGCACTAATTTTTGCTTGTTGAATATGAACTGATGAAAATATATTTCATATTAATTCTATCAATAATAAAATTCAACATATTTGGGATTTTCAGTCATTTCATGAGCATTTATATATTGATTTGGTAAATTCATTCTCAGTGAAATTTGGAATCAAAACACGAATAAGGGTTTTAATTGAATTAATTTTATTGATAAATGATTGAATAAATATATTTCATAAAATATTTTACAATGATGTCTACTTTTTTACTTAAGTTATATTCTCTGTTGGATATAAATAAATAACTGTTGATTACTGTAACTGGCAGCAGAGATGTATCCAATTAACCTAATTTTATATTTTGAACATGATAGTAAAAATTTATACTCAATTATTTTATTTATAATGAATGGATAGAGCAATATCATACATATGTTGCTGTTCGTTTAAGTTCAAGTATTCAATTAATGTTGATTCATTTGTTTTGTTTCTATTTTCTAATAATAATTAAATCATTTTATACTTTTTGGTGACAAGAATATTATTTTAAATCAATTTAATCGGTAATTGTAAAAAAAAAAAAAGCCACAGGTTTTTATGATTGGTTCTACCAACATTAATAGAACGAAATAATTTGAAATACTTGTAAAAATTTCTATAAAAAGGGAATAATCGTAAAACACTATGTAAAAAAAGAGGCGCTTTGTGATAAATATTCCATTTTTATCCTTTTACAATTTATATCAGCAATTTTGGTGCTATAAATTGACAATGAAAATAGTCAGGTGGGAAGAAAGAAAAAAAAAAAGAACAGAAGGAGAAGTGGCTAAAAACTATAAAAAATATTTTTGAGGTAGATTTATATATATATATATATTTTTTTTTAACCTTTTTTCTGGATTTAAAACAATGGAGGTGAATGTAGATTAACAAAAAATATAACATTCGATCTGGCAGCGACGTCGACGATGTTCTACCCCCTTCTACTGACATTGCGACGAACGTCGGTGGCAAGTTCCAGCACCTACACAACCCCTACCACACATACGAGAGGGATGAAACGAAAGTAGTGTAGATCCAATTTCCAATATCTGATATCGCGTTTTAATTAACTTAGTTTCACGGAGCCATCCTGCCAATTTCTCTTGTACCTATTTCATCTCTTTTCCTTTCTCACACTCTCCAAAAAATCCATTCTCTTTTCGCTACCCTTCTTCCTCTCCTCGCTATTCATCCCCTATTTCCCAAGTGCTTTTGGCCACTTTCATAAGTGCCACATTTTTGCACGAGCCTCTGGGTAGAAAGCATCGCGACGCCAGGCACAATTTCGAATTTTACCGTCAACCTTCTCCTTCAATATACTCTTTTTAATCTTCCTTTATACTGGAAATGAAAGTCAACACTCGTCTCCATACGTTATCGACTTATCGAAGGAATAATGAAGCTTTCAATCAAACTAAACAACTTGAGGAATTCTATAAAGCTTTTTTTTTTCAAAATTATTTATGCAACTACCGTCATATGTTTTCATGTAAAATAACGTAAATATTTTACAGTGTAATGAGAAAATTCATGTTTGTTAATTAATTTTACTTGTTCCAACTTTTTAACTGATATTAAATTAACTTTTATTCATGATAGTAAAACAAATTCTACAGCAAGCAACCATTATTGGAAATTATCCCATCAGAAAATTGTTTCAACTTCTCAGGCACATGTTGTTATTGTTATTTCAATAATTTATATGTTTCTTAATTTCACAAGAAAGCCATTTCGATTACTATTACTTGAAAATTTCATAATTGTTTATTTAAATATCCATTTGCTTTTCAACTCTGCTGATATATTCTTCGGCAAACGAGTTTAATATCTGAAGCAAAATTGGAATCTACTTTAAGAAAACTTATGTCTCAAATAAAGGACAAATTAAATATGATCACAGTAAATTTTAAATTTAAAAGTATTTTAAAATGACGTTACCCTGAGTACAACTGAATAGGCCCAAAAAAGGTCAACACAGACCCAATTCAAGCTTAATCTTAATTCAAAAATATTTTCAGTGCTCAAAACAAGCCTAATACACTCGTAAATTTAATAGGTGTCCAAGTTAAGCCCGGAAATATTTTTCAGGCCCACAACGGGCCCATTTAAGCCCATTTTCCATGATCATATTCGACAATAAATTACAACTGTAAATTTGTAGCATGAAAGTTAATTCAATGATAAATTTTTATGACCATTTTTTTTTAAATTTTATAAATATTTTTTAACTTAAATTGGGCCTTTTGTGAACCAGGAAAATATTATTGAACTTACATAAGGCATTTTGTGGGCCTAGAAAGTACTCTTGGACTTGAATTGGGCACTTTGTGATCCTAAAAACTATTTTTAGGCCTTTTGTAGGCCTAAAAGATAATCTTAATTTAAATTGGGTCTGTTGTGGGCCTGAAAAATAATTTGAGCGCATCCAAAAACTGATCATTTGTACTTGAAACCCATTTGATTGACATTGTAGTCACTTGAAATGCATTTGAATGTGTTGAAAAAATGACTATGATGCTAATTAGATGGGTGACATTGTTCTAAAGCACTTCAAGTGCATTGAAATAAAATAGTACAATTTGCAGTGATGACTCGTCAAAATTTGTTGCAGTTAATACTTGACCAAAATTATTACTTTTCTTTTCTCGGGAATTATGAAAATACGCCATCTTGTACAAAATTAAGCTCTACATCATGAACTGACACCTGATACGAGCAACGTCATAACTCATGCACAGTTTTTATTTCAGTTGTAACAGCATTTACTGCAGCTTCAAGTGTTTAACAAGTGTTTTATTACTAAACATTTAGATTTAAAATGAATCTATCACATTTATTGAATAAACCATACACACAATTTTATAATTAATCTCGACTACAATAGACTACTTAGTCTAATAAACCTCCATTCATTTACAAATATCCTGTAGATTTTCTTTTGTATAGAAGAAACAAAAAAATTAACTGTCAATAAATTTTATAAAGTGTTAACAAGCTTTGTAAATGAATAAATTGTCCGAATAAATAATGCCACCCCAACAGTGATGAAATAAAGATAATTGAATGTTCATATAAAAATGCAAATGATTTAAGCAAAGGAGGACAATTTCAATGGTGGCATTTTATCAGATGTATTCTTAACATTAAGATAAAGAAACAAGATAAAAGATCTGAAATCTACTAATGTCATGGATGGCAACAGCGCTATAAATCAACTATATCGCATGGGAATTGAAAGCCAACGACGGATGTTCACGTGCAGAAGCTCTTGAGGGTAGTTATAGCAGTTATCGTTATTACGAGGATGAGGGTGATGTTGGGACGACACTCGAACAGTCTGAAACGCACGCGCA